AGATCGTTTCGAACGAGAACAATCGTAAAATAACTCTTAAGATCGACATTAACCAATTAGAATTTTATTATACGCGGAAGTTCGACGACTTACAGGTGGTATACGTATAATTATAGTTCGTTGAACGATATATAAAAGCTTTGCCATTCCATTGAAACGACGAGTTTTCTTTTTCTTTCTTCAAAGATATTAGATCACGTTTCTAAAGGTAAGATTAGAAAAGTGAAAAGGTAAATTATTATACGGCTTAGACTTTATCAGCTGTTAACACCTTTTGCTAAGAGAACGTTATCGTTCTCTTAGCAACCTGTTAATTCGTTAACGAGGAACATATATACGCAAACATCGAAAGATAACTTATGTGTGTAACTATGTAAGAAAGTACACAGAAGATGGATTTGCCTTTAGAAGAGGGTACAAAATTTTCTTTTAGGCTAGGCTAGGTTATACTAGGTTAAGCTAGGTTAAGCTAGGTGAACCGGATACTGAAAGCCACAGCAAAGGCACTGTAGTTGGTTCCCATAAAACTTGGTGAAACATGATACCCCGAGGGACTTCTTTCTTAAGCAAGTTAACGATTATCTTTTTGATACAAATGTCGAGTTTCGTGATAGCACAAGGGATTGTCAAGTACTACCGTACTACTACAGAAGGCATATTTGGATAAGCTAAGTTTCATCAGATTAATAAGATAATTTCTTCAAATGAGATGCTGTTCTCATTCGTTCCTTCCTTTATTTGAATTTCCAAGAAGACTATTAGTTTTTCTTTTTCTTCTTCTTTTTCTTTTTGAAACTAGATGACCTAAACATTATTATCCTTGATGTCTGTGTTTTAAAATTAATCATCTTTTGGGTGGGCTGTTAAAAGTTCTTTTTAGGATTGACGAGCCAATATTCGGGACCATTGAGAGCTTCTCGTTTTCCTTAGTTTCTCAGAAAACGATCATTTCATTTAACAACGGTGACCCAAAAAAAAGGTTAATTGCAGTCAGATATTATTACATTTGACATCCGCTTTGGGCGATAATTTGTAGCAAATCCTATTACTTGCTTTCGCTCGTTAAGGATTATAATATGTTGTGTTTCTCAATGATGCACCGAGCATGTGGAAGACTTTCCGTTATCTTGACGAGATAAAAGCCATAATCGAATTAAATGCTCGTCGGGTTTTGTACAAACGGATAACTGTACGGCTTGTCTCGAGTTCTTTAGATAGAAATAAGATCTTTTGCTAAAAACTATCATGGGGTGGGTAAAGATAGCGAAATTCTCACGATTTGAAACAGTTGAAAGTTCTACGATGAATAAAAATTGAAAAAAAAAAAAGGAAAGTATATTTTCAATTCGTAAATCTTCTTTGATTTTAGTTTGGTAGATCATAAAAGTAAGAGTATCTTTAATCTCCTCGAATAGGATTCTTCTGTATAATCGCGTGTCAGGAAAAGTTTATCGTTCTCTTTGATCCAGCGGCACATAGAACTTGCATGGATTTTACGGTGCAAGAGACCAGCACGTGGAATTGCTCAATTACGCGAGGCTAACAATCCCCTTGCTACGTCCTCGGTAAAAGAGGCTCTCTCTAAGCTTTACAATGGAACGTGGCGGGATTTTACCTTTGTAAATTACCAGAAAAAAAGGTACAAAAAGAAAAAAGGAAATGGTTGAAAGCGTTCCGAACGATGGACGTTGTCGATTACCATTCGAATCGGCAGAAAGGTTACCGGCAAAAGAATTATTGATATCGTTGATCGAATTATTTTTTTAGGAAATTATATATTTTTTTCGGTTATTTAAATCACCCTTAAAACAATATATATATATATATAGAAATTCGATGAATTGTTTTAAAGAAATAAAAAAAATAATTCAAGAGAAAAATATTGAATTGTTGTTACCAGATGATTTGCATTTTGAATAGATGAGGGGAAAAAACCAAATAGTTGCAGAGTCATATTTTTGTAGAATACTATTTTTATACAAACCCCTTCCCTTACGCCCCTACCCCCTCTTCTTCGTTATGATCTCTCGTCGATCTCGTCAGATGGAAGTTACTTTTTTTCTCATGGCAGCTTAGGACAACACGAGCCCGGTAGTACATTCCCGAAATTACTTTCCGCCTTATTTTCATTGAACGATCCGTAACATATGTGCCCCTAAACTGTTTTAGGATGCAGAGAGAAGAGAGGCCGCTTCTTGACGTACGCAGAAAGCTCGTTCCATCTATTTACAGGATGATCGAGCAAACACAAAGATGCGCATGTAAAGAAAAAGACAAAGAAGTAGTAGAAGAAGAAGAAAAAGAAGAGAAAGGAGTTTTTGGTGGTAGTCAGAGTAGACTTATATGCTTCTTTGGATCCACAACGAAAGATATGGCGAATGTTTATTGGCTTTGACGAGGCACGAAGGAGGACGAAAATAATCTTTGAAAAATTCGGGCTCGTTAATCAAAAGACCTTTCTAATCTTTTTTTTTTCTTACTTTCAATCTTGAATTCGTAGAATTCTTTTCATCCAAAAATTCTTATCGATCATTTCAAAATGATCATTACTATTATCTACCATTACTATCAATTTCAATAATTGCATTTATAAAAGTAAAATGATTAAAACCTTCACTAGATTTCTACGATATTTAATTAAGTCAAATGTATAATAATGCACAATGTAAAAATGGAAATTCATTCATTGAATATTACCAACTCAGAAACAAAGTTCATCGTCAGCTATAGTTAACACGTTGACTGCCACGCGTGTTTACAACAAAATCCCCGTCAGGCCACCCGTGCCACTGTAAGATGCGTGCTCTGCTACCGCATGTCTGTTTACATTTCTTTCGAAATGAAAAAAATGAATGAATAATGAAATGAATAATGAAAAAAATGAATAATGAAAAAAAAAGAAACCCCGATATCTATTACGATCCTCATTTATCACGTTATTACTCT